ACTGCCAAATGGTTACATTCGATTTCATTAATGTTTTCATTGGTGTATACCGAGTGCTCTTACCACCCACACACTAGACGATGATTCCACTTCAACCTGTCAGTTTAGATTGAGCATTATTTTGTATTCTGTAACGATTTGTGTATTGATTATGTTTATTGAAACTCACAACAGAACGAGGTAGGAAATTTCAATAGCCAAAACAGTTTAATATAAAATAATATCTTTAGAAGCTTAATCTACGATTTAAAATTAATTGTCCATTAGCTAAAGAACAAAAGAATAGACGCCCACCAAACGGTTTCATAATAATTACATTAAAATTAAGATAATCGGTTATTGGATAATAACCGGACTCACTGATAAAAATCTTTGATACTTCGAAACAAAATTAAACAAAGAATTTTCATAATAGAACTCTAATATTTTATTTAATTAAAGTTCTTCCCAGAATTTTGTTGTGATGATAAAGTATTACACTCGTGGCTATGCAACGTTCTTAGTTCATGGGTCAATTATCTTCAATTCGGCAGTGAAATATATAACAATGGTGCTTTCAACGATACAGACAGGCATTTTAGTTAGCCTTGATATTTAGATATCAATAGATAATATTGTCTTAACGCATCTTATAATTTGTATAAATGACGTTTAAATCAGATCATAGTTGGATAATCGAAATTTTCTTAGAATCGTGAAGGATATTTGTGTCTAGTCGTGAATTAGATTTAAGTTATTATGTTGATATTATTGTTAGGCAAACTCGAACCACATGTAAACTGTCTTTCGGTCATTAGGATGTATTTCATGAACAGTGATAGTAAGACAACATTAAAATTTTCACAAAAGATGTACCTATTTCTGTTGCCGCTATAGCAACAAACACAACAGAATTAAATAAAAATTAAAGGGGCCTCCTTCATAGCAAACGTAATTATTTTGCATTTTTATAGATAATGGCAAAGAGCCCTTTATACGTGAGTCCCTTGGCCGGTTTCCTTACCCGACCATATCGTTTATTTTTAACGTTGCCATAGTTAAGCTACACGATTAATTAAAAAAATCACAAACGTGATTTTTTGCGGTTTTTTATAGGCACGGAACCCTTCGTGCTTGAGTCCGGCACATACTTGGCCATTTTTTACTATAAATATTTTAAACAATTAAATTCAGACAAATCGAATCGAAAAGCAAAAAGCTAAGTGCGCGTTGAACTTGCACACGTAGGTTTTCGTACTGGACACTAGCAAAAACATCACGTTTGTTGTATCGAAGCCCCCTTAAATATTAAGTTTCTTCTGTTTTTTAGTATTTGTTGTAACGGCTACCGGAATATTTCTTCTGTGAAAACTTCAACTATCTAACTTTCACGGTTTTTGAGAAACAGCCTGGTAACAGTCAGCCAGACAGACAGCGAAATCTTATTGAAACAGCTTACGTTTTTTACCATTTTTGTACGGAACTAAATAAGCTTACTAGATAAGTTATAAAACAAACCTTCCTTGAATAAAAGGTATTTGTGTAGATTTTTGTCATTGACTTCAAAAAGAAGGAGGTTCTAAGTTGGACTGTAATTGTATGCATTATGTTTTTTGTGTATGTTCACCAATTTACCCACAAATAGTAGACCTAGTCTCAAAGTTATTTTTAATTCGAAAGAAAGATACTAATGAGGTGGTCCCATAAGAAGGATTATGAATTTTGTGTTACTGTCAAAATAACTGGAAAAATATTCACATTGAAGGAATCATAATTGTAGAAAATTTTGAAATAATCGTTAAAAATAATAAACTAAATAAAAAAGAAGCCTTAATAAAGGCCCGATGTTTTTTCAATTATTAATATATACCGCATAATTATCCTGATTCTTATCAAGATAATTGAGCGAATATCAAGATAAATAAATTATTATTTAATTTCTAAGGATCTTCGATTTTTATTTTATTTTACTTGCAAGCGATAAACTTTTTAGAAATATTCCATTAAAACAATTAGTCTCATTGGATATCCTCGAAGCTTTTAAATAATTTGAGCAAATTATGATAATGGAGTTATTAGCTTGAGATATAAGAATCACAAATGATAAGTGAAAAATATTTCGCAAAGAAACTTAACAAACATGAAACTACAATTAGGTTACAAGTTAAATAAGATATAAGTTAATTGAAATAAACATAGGCTACAACAAAGAGGATTTGCTCAATAACTAACACTTTATAGCGTTGAAATAATAAGGGCGAAGGAAGCTTCAGGCGAATTGTTGAAATATTCTTTCGACTTGTGAATATTTCGAAATGAACAAATACGTGATACTATACGATCACGCAGACGAATGCTACTTTGGTTAGTTATTATTTCTATGAGAAACCACCGCACCTTAATCTATAAAATAAGCTTTACCGTACTAAAACGTGGAAATAATATTACACAGACATAGATCAAGTCATAGTGAGAAATAAATCCATTAAAATTTGATTTAAGAGCGGATTCAAAAGGATAACAGAAACTTAAGGTGGTTGTTGACTGTCTCCACACGCACGCATCAGGCGCACGACATTCGACGGATGGTACGGATTTTCCGATCTCATGTATCCACTGCATCAAAGTCAAAGTCAAAATAGTCTTTATTCAAATAGACTTCTTAAAAGTGCTGTTGTATCGCCCAAAAATTCGAATCCGTATTTTCCATAGATGCTTCTATGAAAAATCCTTTCGTCAGTTTTGGCATCGGAATTATGTTGACAGTTTTGACGTAATTTATAGTAGCTCTATCGAAGTAATCCGTTTTACGTTATCAGCATTTTCATTGCTCATATATTGCGTGTGCTGCGGCTGGGGCGGATAGTAGACAGAGTGCTATACAAATTCATACAAAGATATGGAAAATCCACTGCATGTCGTGCGGCCGGTGCGTACGTGCAGACAAGTTGGACCTTCATCATTATAGGATCTCTCGTGTCTGTCTGACGATACTACTGGGCTTCGAATCTGTCAATGTTTACGCTATGATGACATAAATGACGTCACAATTAATGGTATTTTCCCACTGCATTATCTACCTGACGCTAAACGTCAAATATTAATATTTATTTATAAATGGTACACAAACAGATCACAATCAATAGAGAAGCCATTGTACAATAGAATATTCTTAATTTGTTATATAGTAACTAGAACTTTGCTATAGAAAGACCATTGATACGCCACAATAACTTTAACATTAGTAGACTTGAGCCTCTGGTTTATTTCGAAAGTAATGGACCGATTAAAAGCTACATAAAATATAAGTACCCACGGTGACCTACGATAAGCGTATAACGTAACTAACTGAAATTTTAACTTGAGCCTCTCTTTTGAGTGATGAATAAGACTATAAGGAGTGATAAATTAAAAATTTTCAAAATACAATAAAAATATGTTCATTACCAAAACAGAAAAAACATATGATTTCTTTTTCGATGCGCGATCTGACTCGCTCTTGGCCGGTTTTTACATTTAGTAATGATAAACAAAAAAAATTTTTTTAGATGCAGTAATCTTAACAAATGTATATCTTGTACATTATCAATGTTTATTTATTGCACAATTATTCTTTCACAGACATACACACACTCACATTTGCTTGCTTTAATTTTTTTTCTCAAAATGAAATACTAAGTACTGAATGTACTATTTATTGGAAGAGCGAACTATTTCTGGTACCGATATTAGTAGGTCTAAAAGAAATGACCTATAACAATATTCTGAATGCAACCGGGATTTTCTATTTTTTTTGTTTTATTATTTTTTATGTCATATGAATATCCTTCGGATAGATTTTAAATACGCAACTTGAGTAGTAAGACGAGGTATCGTAAAATATTTTTTATAACTTGGCATTGACCATGAAATAGGCCAATATCAAAATCCGGTTAACCCTATGACCTAAAAGTCATTAACTCTAGCAAAAACGTAGACGAGCAAGAAGTATCATTACGTTAATTAAAAAAAAAAAGTCATGTATATAATACGTTTATTGATCGATTTCTTTTTATAATAGGCAGGATATTATAACGTTTTTGTGAAATGAGTTAATCGTTTCGGATACCGACTCCCGCAACGCCATCTTTTGGCTGCACGCAACTCTACTAAGCGGAGGTGAGCTTTTAAAAGCAAATGTTGTCTATCTATTGACTTGTTGCAATCATCTAAGCTTTTATCAAAGACAGATAGATGGAATATTTGTAGTTACTCTGCAATAATAATTTATTTGATTTTATAGATGTTTTAATTATTACATGTAGTACAAACCGATAATTTTGAAACTTACTATTTGTAATAATGTAATTTGTGTTTTGTACAATTACTTATTTTTGCTTATCAGATCAGAAAATACATTTTATTCCCTACTGTATAATTTACTTATTGTTAAAGAGCCTTTATAAAATCTATTTTTATCATTTTAGTAATCAGCCTTGATTAAACATTATGAAAACAATTTTAAATAGAGTTTAATTAAATAACAGCGATATTGCGCTTTACCGAATGCGACGCAGTTACTCTGATTATTGAGATTTCTTGATAATTTTGTTTCTTATTATTTATTTAATTATTAAATGCCGTATTCGAATAGGTCAAAAATACTATGGAGTTTTTAAATTCTTTATCAATTAAACATTTTATTCTGTTTCTATCGTCTTTCAAGCAACGAATGGTAGCTAACCACAGATTGGGTTATCTGTGGTAACTAACTAAAAGCAAAAAATGGGCAATTTATGATATTCTTAAGTTAAATTTAAGTTCTGTTTAGACTAAAGATTCTAAAATTATATTCATAAAGACTTATCGAATTCGGTCCTAGTAGTTTATTATCTATTATTTTTATAACCATATTTTACCAGGTGAAAAGTATATAATAAAAATACAAGATTTTATATAGATATTTTTATTTATTTTTTCAATGTTCCCGTTATTACATTAATATAAATAATGAAAACACAATAAATTAAATTGTTTTCGATTTAATAGTAATAGCCAAGCTTAGGATCGAATCTTTGCTGTTGCTTAGGTCCGCTAAAGTCTTCTCCTATAATTTTTTGAGTTGACGTTTGATAACCGAAACCTGATAAATCGATTCCATCGCCATTTGGTCTATATTGGTATCGAGTATTCTGCTCGTTTATTGGTAAGCTTCCGTCTTTAATGGGATTATATTGTACTGAACCCTGTCGTTCAATATTCTCATTCGGTTTTTTAGTGCCATCAATTCGTTGTGTATTTCCTTCATTTATACCTGTGATAGTATAATTTGGTCGATAAGTTGTACTAGGAAGATGGTTGTTGTAAATATTTTCTGCAGGTTTAAAGCCTGTATCTGTTGTTCCAGTAGGGAGACCAATTGGTAATATTGATTTTGTTCCTTCATAATATTCGTATTCGGGAGTTGTTGCTTGACTAGGTCGATATGTTGTACCTACAGGAGCTCCCTCTGGGTAAGACTTACCAGAATCTTGGTAGGGTGTTAAGGTCGAAGAAGTTACGATGCCAGGCTTGTTGTGGCCGTTCATGGTATAATATCCATTATTTGGGCCAGGGATTATATTCTTCCTCTCATTTGTACCATAATAGTAAGGTCCTGGAGATGTTGTGGAAGTAGGTGTTGTTGTTGAAATTGTGTAAGGTGCTTGAGTGCTTGAACCAATTTCATTTGGGATTTCTTTGAAAGATTGAGAAGTTTCTTTTGGATACATATTATAACTAGGTGTGGAATACTGTTGATTGTATTGTGACAATTTTGAATTAGATTCAGAAGGCTGATTTGAAGGTCGAACTTTAGAAATAACTTTATCATTGTATACTTGATCAGGTATTGTGTATTGCTGATAATTTTTTTTATTCAATTTACCTTCATACTGATATTGCTCATTTGGAAATTCACCTTTTGGCGACGTAGATTCTTCTTCATAATTATCTGCTGAATTCTCAACTCCAACTCGTGATACATTAGGAGTTATAAAAGGTTTTACGGTTGCATCTTTCAATTGCTGAGATGGCCTCCTTGTCGTATATATTGATCCAGTTCCGGGATATCGAGTAGAAAAGTTATTTCCATCATCAAAGAATTTATTGCTCGGTGGAATGTATTGGTAGCCTGTGCTATTAAAAATCTTTTTCATATTTTGTCCACTATCTGTAACTGAATAGAATGTTGGTTTTCCATTAAGTCTTTGACCGTATTGTTTGTTACCATATTCCTGTTCATCATCGTGTTCTCTTTGAGCAATTGGTCGAGATTTTTGAACATCATCATGAATTTGTGATGAATTTGTTGCATATGTAGGTGGTCTATTGGAAACTGTTGGCTGAATATTTTGTGACTGCAAATCTACAGATATATCATAACGGTTTTCTGTTGGTTGATATATGGGTGTCGTATATATGTCGTAATTATTTTCATTACCTTTTCTACTATCATACTCACCGCTTATATCATCAAGGGATCCTTGGTTGTTTTTATTGTTAATTATCATATCTTCTTTGACACTTAATCCAGGTACAAAAGGGCGCCTTTTCGTTGATATATTTTGTTCGAAATTTGATTCCACTTTTGGTTTATTTATTCCTTCTGGTCTGAATGTAGAAGGTATGTCACTAGAAGACTCATATTTTTGTGTGGGGGTAAACTTTGAACTTATTGTTTTTGTTTGGTAGTTTGGCCGTTGTTCATTTCCATTATCAAATAGCTTATTTTCATTTTTGTAATAAATTTGATGATTGTCCAACCCTTTATCATCTGTTTCTGAGTAATCTGTGTCAAGCTCTGACATAAATTTATTAATAGGTGTCGTCATCTCAAGCTTATAATCCTGGTAGTTGTGGTGTTTTCTTATTCCAGCTACAGGCCGTTTAAGAAACTTGTATTCTTTGTTGTGTTTAGATTCTGGCTCTCGGATTCGGTTCTCTGCGCCAAGTGGACGATATTGTTCTTGAACGTGTTCTTCATATTTATCAGTTGAATATTGACTGCCTTTTGATGGCTTTTGCCTGTTGCTTTCTTCTATATTTTCATTATTATAAGGAGCTTCTTGAATTTGATTTTTATCTGATTTATAAGTTGGATGTCTGAAATTCTTATCACCAATGAATTGTTTTCTTGGTGAATTATCAGTCTTATCGGAAATATGTTTCAAAGAAGGTATAAATGATTTTTCATTGCCTGGTCTCCTTGTTACGTCTTTTACTATTTGATTACTCTTATTTTCAATTTGTGGCATGACATAATCGGTATTATCTGAAATTATTTTCTGTTCACCAACCGGATATTTTTTTGATCCAGATTCGTATATGAGGGATGGTGTTTTATCACCCTCATGATATCGCTGAGAGTTATCTCCTTCCTCACTTGGATAAATGGAACTATTTGGAGTCTTAAACTTGGTTGTTCTTTCCAAATCTAGAGGATAACTGCTAACTGGTTTTTGATACTTCTTGTATCCATATCTGTCCTCATCATAAGATCCTTAAAACAGAATAGAATTATTTAATATAAGTATAAAGTAAAAACATCGACACAAAAAAGCTTTTTATCCGTATTTATTAATTATAATTAATACTGACTATCAAAACTTACCATCATGAATGATGCCAGCTGCCTTTTCTTTGTTTGCTTGTTCAATAATCCTTTGTATTGCTTCAGGAACAGGAGGAGGTGTAGGCAAATGATCTCCATGGGGCTGGAAACCATTTTCATCAGCAGTATATACAATACTATAGACTTTTCCGTCGTCACCTGTATATGAATAAGATCCTGTAGCTTTCACTCCATCAGTAGCAGTTCCATTTTCATCTGCATGTATACCATTTGACGTATCAAATGAGTACTCAAATCCTTCAGGTGTAATAATATTTTTGTAGTTAGGTATAACAGCATTTCTATCAGCTTCAGCCTGAGGTCTTTCGAATTTATTGACATATTTAGTTCTATCGATGTTTCCTTCTTTGATAACTGCAATACTACTTGGTCTACTACTAAAATGTCCTGAAGAAAGTTGTTGATTTTCAAACTCTGGTACAGGAATCTCAGAGGCTTTATTTGGAAAGTGCTGATAAGAATTAAAGAAGTCATTAACATTTGATTTTTTTTCGAGATATTCTTGTTCAGGTACTTGATTGCTTAAAATTGGAAACGGACTTTGACTTGATACTATTTTGTTTTCGGAACGATGAGAATGAGGCGATTGATATATATTATCAGTTTGTGATTGATATGGGCTTAGACTCGAAATATCTTGATACTTCTTTACATTACGATCACTAGTAACATTAGGTAAGAATTCAGGTAGTGAGCCTTGAGATGGTGTAGTAGGTGAAACTAACTCAGGATGTCTGCTAAATTCGTTTATGCCAGTTTGATTTCTTTGATATTCAGTTTCAAATGGAACATGTGTAACCAAAGTTGGCCGTCTTCCTGAACCAGGTTGTTGAAAACCTTGTTGAACTCGGGAGACTCCTGGTTGATTTTGATCAAGATAAATTTCACCATTAGGATGAGTTTGTGAAACTTGTCCAGGAGTTTGTTGGTTATTAAATCTGTTAAAAGCTGGCTGATAACCAGGATAACCAGGCACATCATGATGGAGATGATTATTGATCCCTTGATAAATTGGTTGTGAAGGAATATCAAAAGGAGTCGTTATCGGGAGACCAGTTATTGGATTAATTGGACTAATTGTAGTCTCAAAATTACTTGAGGTTGGATGAGTGGTTGTTTGAGTAAAAGCATATGATACAGTAGTGGTTGGGATATTTTGGTAGCCTTGAAAATTATTAGAAGAACCGGTTGGTTCATAGGCACTAGAACCATCTTGAGCCGGTAACGGAAGACCTCTGTCAATTCCAATAGTCGGCTTATAGTCATCAGGGTTCGGTGCATTTTGTCCAAATGCCACTCGTTGTCGAAGCGTAGTATCATAAGTTTCCTTAGGATATTCCAAAGGTGTTTTTATATCTTCTGGCGTTCCACCAGCATACTGCGATCCCGGAGGTGGAAGGTAAGTCAAATCCAGTTTATCTGAGCTTGCATAGCTTAGAAACAGAATAATCTGAAAAGAAAAAACACATCAATTACACTTTCACTCTAATGAATTGCGTCCGCCTATCACTATTGTATTAAACAATTGTCACTTATCACTTTCTTTGTTAATTCTTTTTATTCACCGTACACTGAGTGTCACATAAACTTAATACCTACCAGAAACCCCTTCATCTCGGACAATGTTTCCATTAGAGGATTCACTTGAGATGTGTGATCATTCAAAATTAAAAATGTTATTTATACCATCCTTAAAATTACCGTATAATGACTATTTAGCCGACCTACGCATATACGTGACAGACGTACCGCGTGACAAACCCCTAATTGTTGCTGTCAAACTCTTGAACAAGTTATTAAGAGTGTTTATTTTTATTATTTCATCATTTTAACGTACACGATTGGTCATGATATGGAAATTATACCACCTTGACATTTGTTCGGCCAGCAGTGTATGATGGTGACAAACGCTAAGAATTAGACTTAATGCTGACATAATGACTGAAAGTGTCTGTACTAGTGATCACGATTGATGTTCGGCTTAGGATGCCTAATTTTGTCGATCGTTCGTTCAAACCAATAAATAAATTCAATGCTGGTTTTTTCACTGAATATTGTTACATAAAAATGAACCCATACATATGAACTTCGCTCTATAATTCCAAACGATTGCCTCAATACGCTTAATTTTCTCAGACAGTATATTTAGTTCAATAAGAATCAGTAAATCGCTTCTTTTATTATTGAGCTTTAATGTACCCGGAAAGAATCTTCGTTTTTTTTAAGCCAATTCACATTCCTATTTCAAACACCAATTACCTTTTCACAAACGCTTCAATGGTTTGGTGTGATAAGGTTGATATAGATCTATTTTATTCAAGCAACTCAGCAAGACAAATTATAATGTTTGAGTGCAATAATAATCATTTATAAATAATTTATTTATTTAGCTCCGTACTTAGTTTGGCACGTTAAACCGTTGGTCCCGGCTGCATGTGCAGACGTTAACACCCACCAATCCGCCCTGGGCCCACAAGGTGGGTTATCGCTCATTCCGCCGATTTGATGTGATTTGACTCCACCTATGGGCAAATTAAGAATTTATCTTTAAGTCCATCGAGAGTAAATACAGAAATAAAATTGCAGCTATAAAAAGTATTTTGTATACTCTACATTATATCGAAATCTAATTTTGTTTTATTATTTTATGTGGTTAAGATGAAATGTATTAGTCGTAAAATTGATCCTAAAAAAACTATTTAGAGTAATTTTGCGTTTTTTTTTTCTATCGAAACAATTATGTTTTTGGCAAGCAATCGATCACAAAATTATGCTTAATTTTCATAAAATGAATTTCATAAGCATTTTTATTTAAGATAATATTACAAATTATCTGTTATCCGGGCACAAAACCTAATTTTATAGTTTTATTTATAATTTTCTAGCTTAGCTAGCTTATTTCATAATTTTCTAGCTAATCTCTCTTTTATGAAAGAAACCTACAGTTCATGCTCTTGCTGTCGATAACAGGTAGTTAATTTTCTAATAACATGTCAAATTTTGTATAATCATATTCAATGTAAGGTTCGTCAAATAAAGAAATTTGTGTTCAAACACAAGAGCGGCACGAGTAGCGAATTGCCGTTCACAGGTTCTTTAGCGGGTGAATACAGTGCAAGTGCTGATTTGCTGGATTTCCGCAAAGAAACCACGAGAAAGACACAAGTCCGCTTGTTGTGAAAGATTTGAGTGAAAATTTATTTTGGTAGTGTCCATTGCTTTAGCTGTTTTCCAATAACGAGGTAAACCTCGATCGGTTAATGGTTTCGCTTATTTACTCACTCAGAAGAATCATGAGTATATTTTCACATAAAGAATACACTGCAATTAATTTCTTGCTCTTATTTAATTGAGCTGGTCACAGAACAAAGAAATCTAAAACCGCTTAAAATGATAGATAATGAAATGAAAACATGTTTTATTCGAATCATTCATCAAAATTCTATCGCTAGTTTATTACTAGAGTGCTAAATATTATTAAAAAACAACCTAGAACTAACTCATCGACGTGAGCAGCACTATTAATGCGTTTGATCAACTAAAACGTACTTGAAAAGATAATAAATAGTAAAGTGACAGCGCTAAGCCAGACCTCAATTTCGAGGCTTTCTAACAGACTAGCATAGCTTTAACATATTTTTGTCGTTACTAGGCGAACGATCGAGATGAATTATGGAATATATGTCAATATTAAAACTGCAACAAAGATATTACAAAAACATTGACTTGTGAATTAGAAACTCGAGTATTAGACATGCAATTTTGGGCGAGTGATTCACAATAAGGTTCTATTCCAAACCATTATTCAATATCAACGTATCGTCATCGTAACATCGACATCGAAATCCGATATGACTGACATTTCAAGAGTGCTGTCTTCTTCACGGCATCCGACGTGCAGAGGTCATTTCAGCCACGACCACAATCAGTGGATACCGCCTCGATGGGTAATCGCCATTGTCTTTTGTAATTACTTTTTTTGTGATCCACGAACTGTGATCTCTTAAGGGACAGCTCTCTCGACGACAAGTGCGATTATATAAAAAAAGATTTAACGTTTCGGGTACGAAATAACACAACTTCACCATTTTTATGGTTCCTGGTTCGATTTCCAATCGGGTCAATATAGAAAAGATTTTATCTATTTTATCTCGGGTCCGGATAATAATTGTCATGTTTATGATATTTATTTGTGAAAATATATTTTTTAAATGAAAGAATGTAAACATTTGGTATTTATATTTCCTATACGCTATGCCTTCCCGAGTGACACTGGATACACATTTGTTTTTAATATTTAAAATGGTGGATATAAGACGTCCCTAAATAAAACATTTTTTTTTTGTTCAATTATTTCAATATGGGTATCAAATTAAATGTCTCAATGAGAAAATTCTAAAAATATATAACTTTTATACATAATTCACTGCTCATTAAAAGGAATAAAATAAAAATAAGTAATTTATTAATTAAAAGACACGACTGCCAAAATTGACCTTGAAAATAAAAGAAACTAGTTGTATTATGGTTTGTTTATACAAAATAAGCCAATATACTTTTTTTACTTCGATATTGGCAGTCGTGTCTTTTTTTATTTTAGATTATTTATTTTTATTTCTAAATATTACTTTAAGCTGTTAAGATGCCTCTGAAGAATTCCCCTTAATAGAATTTATGAATGAAACAGATCATGTATACGATATTTATAAAAGAACAATAGATAAGGCAGTGTTATTCTTAGCGGACTCTTCTATCAACTGTGTCATTTCAAAAGCTGTAGTTATCGCTTTTTCTAATATAATAAATTAAACTTTTATTGCTTTAAACTTTAGTTATAGCACTTTATGATTACTACAAGTTAATATATTATTTCACAGTTCCTAATTTTAACCAACAACTACGACTAAAACTACCGACTTAACGAATTTAATTTTATTTTGCAAAGATTTTACTATTAAAAAACATAGATTTGCATAAATTATTAAAATTTAATCCAAACAATAACATTGTAACAGTCATTTAGTATTCGTATCCATTCTTAGCATTGAACGGTTGCTGCCGTCTTCTGAAAGGTGATGGCCCTCTTCGGTTCGCAGAAGGAGGTAAATAAGCTTTGTTCGCTCCTTGGTTGGATACTCCATTATTGAAACCTCCTTGGCTGGATACTCCGTTATTAAAACCCCCATGGTTAGATACTCCGTTATCAAAACCACCCTGGTTCGAAATTCCGTTATCAAAACCTCCCTGGTTAGGAGCGCCGTTAAAATCTTGATCTCTATAGGCCGGCCTTGGTGAATTACGGAATAATGCAGAGTTTGTCACTACAGAATCCTCATCGCCTTGATATTCGTTGTTTTTGAAAGGAATGTTATTATAAACATTGTTATTGTAGTTGTTTGAGTTGCCGTTGTTATATTCGTCAGCACCACCACCATATTTAGCTTCATTATAAGATCCTGGAACATTAAATTTATTGTTTATGTTAATAGTGATTAGAGAAAAAATGTCTACTTTAACAGTTTGAATAATTGAGTTGCAACTGAATAAAGAAATTATTTGGTATAATTTTATTGCATTTTTTTCTAAGTTATTGCGTCATTTTCTAACGACGAAGAATTTTTCTAAAAAAATACGATATGATACGGTATCTGCTTTTTTATATATTTAGTAAGGAATTTACCATCGTCATAGATTCCTGCAGCTTCATCACGTGCGTTCTGCTCCAGGGCGTTCAGAATTTCTATGGGTACAGGAGGTGGAGTGGGCAGGTGATCACCTTCAGGCACGAATCCGTTCTGGTCAGCGGTGTATCTGAACAGAGAATTTGATAAAAACAAAGGATGTACAAGATAATAACATCACATTGGTCTAATCCCAATAGAGAAGCTAAGGCACTAGTATCATGGAATTAATCATAAAAATACCACAACAGCCAGACCCTAGAATATATAGTAAAGTTCTATATTTTTCAGATTCAGAATTGGCGAAACTTTGAAAGCGGCTTACGAGCCATACTTTCATGAAAAGCGTATCATATTTGGATAATTGTAATATGTTCGTCGTATGACATTTTTATAATATAAGTGCAAATACACTTGATTTGGGATCTAAGTAATGAATGTGATGTTGTTTAAATATTTATTTTATCGTTTCGAACACTATTCTTGCCAGTTTAGTAGTATAAAATAAATGGTATTTATATGTGTTGTGTTATGTAAAAAAGTAAATTTGGAAAATAATTATTCAAAATGAGGTACCTGATACTGTAAACCTGCCCATCATCGCCTGTGTAAGAATAACCACCTTGAGCCTCAACGCCATTGGTGGCCACGCCCCTTTCTTCAGCAGAAATACCGTTTTCAGTTTCATAAGCATAATGATAAGTCTCCCCATCGTTCTCATTGTTCTGGCGCACTATAGCTGCGTTCCTTTCATAAGCAGCTTGGGCACGTTCAGGACGACCCTCGAAACTGTTTCCGTTATTGTAACCATTTCCCCCATGGGCAAAACCGTTATCAGTGTCAGGAAAACCGTTATCCGCTTGGGAGAAACCGTTGTTTTCTTGGTATTCGGGCACAGAGTGACCAGAGTGAGGAGTTCTCAGGAAGTTTCCTGATCCACCGGCGCTTTGAGCTGTCCTTGGTGGCAAATAGGTTTTATCCAGCTTGGCAGCGCTAGACCAGGAGATGGCGATCATTAAAATTAACTGTAAGTAAGACATAAATTAATTTAGTATTATTCATATTTCTTTAAAGAAAAATGATTTATAAGTACTGCTACGTTTGGAGTAGCTCGATGGTTAGAATAGTCTCCCGAATTGCAAAAAGTTGTGGTTTATTGTCATTTTGAAGAGGTGAAAAATAAAACCATTACCAGTAATAATCAATTATAAATAAATTAAAAGGTAATGAAACTAATTTTTACAAAAAAAAAAATAAATACTCTAGAAAATCCATAATCACGATGTTAGCAAAAACAAATTTCTTGTATCGAGTATAATGAAACGTTTATATTTAAGTACCATATACTCGTACAATCATATAATAATTAATATTGTATAATACAATCATACAATAATTTCAGATTATTAATTTATTGATATATTTTATATACAAAGTTACTACATGTACAGGATCCGTAACGACAGGACTGATTTTAAAAATTCTTTCAGGAAGCTACATAATACGTGATTGTAATTTACGGTGATTAAGTCGCGAAAAATAGCTAGTAATGATATTGGTATTCTGATTCAAAATAATTAAACAATAAATTTTTCATCACCGATCTTTTTTAAACTCACCAACTTCATGTTTGGTTATGCGATTATTACAATTTTGAACCACTTCGATCGATAAGTATATCGATACTGATAATGTACCGGCTACCATTACAATATTTATACTGATGCTTGTAGATCGATCGAAATCTGAAGATGTTCTCGTTTTAGTCGTGTCGGGGTGTTGCTTAATCATAATATAATTCACGATGGACCCGTCTAATTGTAGTGGATGGCCTTATGCTACATGCGTCCAGTACAAATTTTTTATTGTTTTATGGTTAAGTCGCTCGTTATTATGGTGTTATTATCTCTCAGAGCTCGATTTCTAGACGGGTTATCGTGGAAATAAATTTTTATTTATTTCTTTAGGTTTGTGTGGTTATGGTTTCTTGTTGTTTAGTATTTACAAAACGCAAAAAATGCGAATGCTAAAAATAAACACAATGTCGGATAAATTCGGAACATTTTTTTAGCATCAAAGTTATTTTAGGCACGTCAAATATATTACCATGTATTTCGGTCATAACATTATAAATTGTCACATAAATTGATTTAGCATAGGCGTAATAGTATTTCCAAATTATGCAAAATTCCGTTTTGTGAAAATGTGATATCTTTCAATGATTGATAAATCGGTCAGTAGAGCAGGCTCATTTAACGGAATGTTATAGGGTTGAATGCTGTCGCTAGGAACTATAAACTTGAGCCGGCTGAATTGTTAACTATAATTTTTATAAGTTAAATATTAAAGTGGGATTATGAATGTAAAAATCGTGTCATAATAATCAATACCAAATTATTCAACAAAAATTACAGATTTATCTACGAGTATATTGAAAATTTTATTTTCATCAACGCATAATAACAATTTTTTATTTCCAAAAATAGAAGTAACTAGCTTTACGGAACACCTTAAAGGGTTTAGCCGGATACGTATGACGAGTCGGCCCCCAAATGGGAATCGATATTGAAACTTATGTTTTAATATCGACTTGATGTTCAAACACGATTTATGTACTTTTCGCGACCGACTTCCGCTTTGACCTTGAGATAGAGAGCAAAATATCCGTATGCTTGACTATTACTGAATGAGATATATCTCCTCAGCTAATTAAGATAAAGAAGTGAAACTAACGCGAGGTGTTAGGTTACATTACAGAGTATATCACATATATTTTTTTATAATTTTTAGAATAAAAAATTACATTAAAAAAATAAAAAATAAAAAAATCATGTTTTTTTTCTGAGTTCTCTGTGACTTAAAATCACGAAATTAATATATGTTATGCTCCTTTGTGTGCTCTATTACCCATAAAAATTGCGTGAAAAAAAAGTTGGTGCAACACAACGAAAAAAAATTATATGTGATTTCTGTCTTATGGTATACCCCTATATTATAAGGTTTTCACATTACATCATTGTTTTTTTTTCGAAATTTCACATCAGCTTGTTTTAAAACATAAGTAACTAGTCTTAAGAGATGGGATAATAGTTAAAAAAGAAATGAAAAAAAAAACAGCCAGTGTTCAATACTTATTATTATTACTTTTTCGTGTCTATCAAAATACAAGAAACAAAATATTAATCATCGTCACTGTTGTAATTAATTACAATCGGAACACTTTGAGTCGCAAATAACTTAGTTAGGACCTCAGCAGGACGTACGATTTTGGACAAATATCATCCATATGATAAATAATAGCTGCTACATGAGAACAGCATCCCACTGTACGTTTGCCATTGGGGCAATCACAGCAATAACGAAGAATACTATTGTAGTCATTACCTTCGGAAATATAGTGAATGTAAATTCGATAGACTTTTCTATTTATATGTCTTGATTTCACTTCTGCTTTGATGATATTAGGTGCTGATTTCACATATTGTACTGAGAGATTATTTTGATCGTCCATTATTTCGGCCAAGTTAAATGCTGCACATTTAGAAGTAGAAGCTTTTTTGTTAATATATGGGATAAGTCGACACTTCTTACAAAAAATATCATTAACTATTACGATTTTATTCAAACAGTCACTAAACACATTAGCTTCTTCTTCATTCTTTATAATTTTTTTTATAACCAGGAATCTTACACAGGTACTTGTTACAATTTTTACACTTTCTCGACATTATTACTTAATAATGATTTGGTTCGATAGTTAATAATTTCAAAATGCTGATACAAAATACCTATGACAGAATTTGAGTCCCAAACTGCCTTCTTGTGTAATACAAATGACTGCTACTTTAGCTAAACAAACGATGCAGTAAACAGCTCGATAACAAGTTCGAACTTGTTTGTTTATACACTCACACTACAAGGCGCGAATCACATATAATTTTTTTTCGTTGTGTTGCACCAACTTTTTTTTCACGCAATTTTTATGGGTGATAGAGCACACAAAGGAGCATAACATATATTAATTTCGTGATTGTAAGTCACAGAGAACTCAGAAAAAAAAACATGTTTTTTTTTATTTTTATTTTTTTATGTAATTTTTTATTCTAAAAATTATAAAAAAATATATGTGATATACTCTGTAATGTAACCTAATACCTCGCGTTAGTTTCACTTCTTTATCTTAATTAGCTTCAGAGATATATCACATTCAGTAAAACGAGGGTCAAACTGAAAGTTCTTAGAAAATTAAAAACTGATTACATTAGCCAGTTATTAGTTTTATTATATCTTTTCAAAATATTGTCCATTCACGTCAATACACCGCTGCATGCGATGGAACCACTGGGAAAAGCACTTTGCCCACTCGTCCTTAGGGGTCTCTTCAATGGCATCGCGATACGCAGCCACCGCTTCTTCAGCATTCATAAACCGCTTTCCTTTAAGTTTTTCTTTAATTTTTGGAAATAAATAAAAATCACAAGGCGCGAGGTCGGGGCTATACGGCGGGTGACCCAGTAATTCAACGTTTGATGTCGCCAAATAGTCGATCGTTCGCTTGGCGGTGTGCGACGAGGCGTTGTCGTGGTGAAGGAGGATCCTACTGCGAGGTCGTTTCTCTCGAACTTTTTCCAAGACAAGTGGCAAACAATTGGTAGTGTACCATTCTGCAGAAACTGTTTTTTGAACCTCTAACACAATTGTTGCAAAATGACCTATCCTTCCAAAGAACGAGGCCACCATTTTTTTTCCCGCACTTCGATCTCTCTTCACTTTAGTTGGCAACTCCTCGAAAGGAAACACCCACTGAGCAGATTGTCTTTTGGTTTTAGGATCATAACAGTAAATCCAGCTTTCGTCACCTGTTAGTATGTCGAACACAGCATTTGAGTCACCTCCGTTAAATCTTTCAATCATTTTACGACACCAATCCACACGATGGAGTTTTTGAGCCTCAGTCAAATTATGAGGTATCCACCGGGCGCAAAGCTTCCTGACCGCTAAATGTTCGTGGAGGATTTTGTGCACTTGACTCATACCGATGCCTAAGCTTGTCCGAATCTGTTGATAGGTCACTCTTTTGTCAGTCTCTATCATACGCCGCACAACACAGATGTTATCTTTAGTCGTCGCCGTAGAAGGCCGTCCCTCACGTAAATCATCAGTGAGATTAGTGCGACCACGTTTAAACTCATTAAACCAGTTGTAAACAGTCGCACGAGATGGGGCTTCATCGTGAAAGGCCAATCGTAGTCTATCATAACTTTCTTGTTGACTTAAATGACATCGAAAGTCATAAAAAATCATTGCACGAAAATTTTCTCGTGTTAAATTCATGATGACGTGACACAGACAATTTTCAATTTGCCGCCAAATCGTAAAACAAATGACAAATGAATGAAATATATACTCAGTAATATTGGCAAAGAGTTATATTTTCAAATTTTAGAATTATTTTTTTATTATATTGTTTATAAGTGGCCAGTTCTAAGAACTTTCAGTTTGACCCTCGTAGTCAAGCATACGGATATTTTGCTCTCTATCTCAAGGTCAATGCGGAAGTCGGTCGCGAAAAGTACATAAATCGTGTTTGAACATCAAGTCTATATTAAAACATAAGTTTCAATATCGATTCCCATTTGGGGGCCGACTCGTCATACGTATCCGGCTAAACCCTTTAATTCTTGACATTACGTTACCCCGTCACCTGGCAAGCAACGTGGCTATGTGGGACTCGCCTATGTGGGTTCATCCAGCGGGTATTCGCCCGATTGACCCACAGAGACCTAACTACTAAAAATTTTACAGTATACCATCACGTGGGGGATTAGACCCGGGAAGCCGACAATACATTACTCACAGGTTTAATTTAAAAATAGAAACGAAAACCAATTACAGAAAGTTTTTTTTTATTTGTATTTAATTATTATTGAATACGTTCATGCTGCATAACTACATCCATTGTAAATCTTCAATTGCGATAAAGACACCGCATACTATATATCGAACTGTGTCCTTGACTTGAACCATTTTACTTACAATACCAACTTGCTTCTTCAGCTGATAGTGGCGCTAGTGTATTAGCTTAACTATTTAGATAAAGTGTGCGCAGCGTGTAAGTGCCCGCATAGCGAGTCATTTCATAAGTTTTGGAAACCACAGACTCAGTACCTTTTCAAAGACAGGATGTAACCCGAATATTCTAAATCTATACTTATATTGTAAAAAGAAAGGATTTGATAGTTTTCTTAAAATAGGCTCCAAAAATACGGGACTGATTTTTGAAATTATTTATCTACATCATACGCGGAATCATACTATATCATATACAGAAAGATACATCATACGCGGGTTATATAGGCTATATCTTTCAAAGCCGAAGTCGCGAGAAAATAGCAAGTTTATAATGTGGCATACATTTGTTACAGTTCGTTAGTTTTTTTTTTTCTAAAATATATAACCAAACGATGAGTGTTTGAATGAGTTATTGACTGTATGCATGTATAACTTTGTAGGTTAATGCGACCTCCTTCAACCATTAATTTCGGCTTCCGATATCGATACATCTGTAAACATCGGTACACATTACATTCGATCAATCGTGATCATTGAAGGTCGAGTGTCATATTTTTCTTTTGTGAGAATCTAGATCATTAAATGTGCTCGCAACAATACCTGTTGATTGTTGATTTTAAAACAATATTATCGGTCTACATATCAACTGCTGGGACACAGGGCTTATTTGTGTATGGATTAATAGAACAGGAACGATGCGCAGGTCATGATCCACAGTTCGTAAGGGTGTTAATGAATGCAGATACAGACGAGACCAATGGCTTAGTGTCTTCCGCAGCGCGGAGGAACACGAGATAATATAGTATTGGTTTCCCATCTCAGGACCAACATTTACGAAAGTTGCTTAACTTCCTCATCACTTCCAAACCACTGCACCATTAAGTTTCTTATTTTGAATAATAAAATTGTATAATAAAAAACTGAACAGCGCCGAATGCTACATCGAATACTGCTTATGGATTCAATAAAATAGAACCTACTACGAAAAGGTAATAAAGGTTTAATTTTATCAAATCTGTAATGATGTAACAGCGTTGTGTTCAACGCTGTACCTTTTACGGTTTATTAATCAAAAATATTTGTAAGAGATTACAAAAGCTGGCGAAGAGGAAACAAAAGAAAAAAAGAGCCATGTACTAAATGAAAACTGCTTAAAAATCACTTTCCTGGCACGCTGAGATGGGATTCGAAACCTTGACCTTTCGCAGTCCAAACGATTGCTCTAACCACTAAGCTATCCAGGACCTAACAGGAATGACGAATATTTTTACAAATACCTATTTAAACATTCGAAATTTTCATCTTTATCGAAAGTTTAAAAATTTGCAAAAATATTTCTTTCGGCTGTTTGGGTGGATTGCCCTGCGACGGTGTGCCGTACCACCGTTAATTTCGTCCTAAGTTTAAGCATGCAAACTCTTTGTCTTTCATATTCAACATAATTTCTTTTTAGTATTCATCTTTCGTAATTTGAAAATTTGGCTAATCAAATATGCTCTTTATTCAGTTCGTAAAAAAATCTTCTGTTGTGAACATGTAAATCGTATAATTTAAAAATATAAATATTATAGTTATGAAGATATGTGTCTAAATTAAAAATTATGAATAGAATATATAAAATTATATCCTGTAATAGCGTCCAAGTTTTTATTAAGAAACCCAAAAAAGGGTATGTATTTGTTTTATTTAGTGATTTTATATTTAGGTAAACATACGAACTATTTTTATATTCATTTTTTGTTTGTAACAGTTTCTTTTCTATACCCATTGTTACCATGAAATAAACAAATTCTCAAGCTAGTCAGCCTTTCTTTAATTCGCCTTGCATCGAACTCGTGAGAATACGCTCTGTAGAAGAGAAAAAGTAACAAGTGCCTGAAAGAATCGACGGTATTTTTCTTAAATTGTTCAAACCGTACACAGAAATCTTAAATTTTTTAGATGATTTATAAATAGGATTAGCTAGAAATACTGATAGAATGATTAAGGAATTTAAAATGAATGAAATTGTTGCGCGTTGTGGATATGAGTAAAGAACATAAATAGGATGGAAGGAAAAAATAATGCGTAGGATGAGACGTCAAAACATGAATACGGAACAACTCTTTTTATTAGTTATTGGCAAATATTTATCAATTATTTTCTAAATCGGTTTTAATTTTTTTTTATTATTCACATAGACACATACTCAATGACATTTACAATACAATTTCTAGAATTTCACTTGCGACATCTTAATGAGCTGTTTATGAGATAACAAGGCAACTCTTGAAGCTATCTTCAGATCAATCTAATAATACGTTGATCAATTACCGTTTGTTCGATTACGGTCATACCTGTTATGGAGAAGATCATTTAACTATCTTAGAGCATTAACACCGCAACTGCTATTGTTTTGTAATTTGAATGCTACCATTTTACGAAGATGTGCCCTTTAATAAGTGGTATCAAGGATATTTGAACGTTAATTCATTCATCATTAACCTATTATCATTCCCACTGCTGGGAAAAAACAACCAGCAGACTTTTTTATTGTAGGGGAAAGCGTTACGCGATTTACATGCAGTTTAATGGATGAAAGGAGTATGTAGGACATTTATAATTAGAATAAAGGATCAACAATCGTATCTATAGTCGAGAGAAGGAATTATTTAAGATTATGGGCCCTCTTGTATCTCCGCTTACGTTCCTAGACAAATACACATCGAGAATAAAGATGCGCTCGCATGATTTCATACATTTTTAATCACAGAAAAAAATGCAGTTGTAAAAAGAATGTGTTCAAAAGAATATATCAAAATTTATTTTTTATTTAGTTAATGATATATTAGTCGTGAATTCGAACCAAAATCCTATCTAGAGTCATTTTTCCGATTTTTTTTTCTATAGATGAAATGTATGTTTCTGTTTTAGCAAGAAATTGATCATATATTATTTATGAGAAATGCTTAAAAATCCACTTTGTTGCTGGCACTCAGAGATGGAACTGGAACCTATGACCTTTCAAGAATATTTTTCAGTGTGGCATTGTGAATACAAAATTGATTAAATATAATAATCGATCATATGTTTAATTTTCATAAAATGTTTTTTTTTTAGCATATCTTTAGAATAAAATTGGTTTAAAAAGGACAATTTTTTACCAAATAAACAAGAATTAGAATAAAGTAAGAACTGTTAGAGTACTATTATTATTAGCTATTAATAAAAAACTCACCTTAAGTTATGAAATTCTCAAGTGATTCTTCTCTCGACTATAGATATGAAGGTAGAACTTTTAGGATACTTTAATAATTTCCCATCTGACAAGCCAGCAACCTTATCGAATAACTACATTAGCTTCAATTTGGTTGACTTTGGAATCAATAATTTATTACTGTATTGAACGTTATGTACATTTGATTCAAAACAATGTATTTGACGCACATTGTATAACTATAACTTTCTAACAGTAACTATAACTAAGAATACGATATTGAAGTTCGAGTGCGTTTTGATTAAATCCAACGTTAACCAAATCGAAACCAATGTATATAATTACTCCCTATGTTATACGACACCCACCACGCGATTCTTATGCTGATTTGTTGTCGCTAAAGAGTGCAAAAGTAGCCTGGAATAGCGGTTTAAAATTGTCTGTGGAAGTAATGAAATACAGGATACTAAAATTTTGGTCCGCCCATCCGAGGGTTGACCTTTCGAAAGTTGCACCAACGCCGCAATTGCAGACAATTATATAGAAAATTAATTCTGACAAAAACTGAACGGTTCACCATCAGCTATAATATACGTGTGTTGTCATACTCAGTGACGCCACGTGGGTAATTACTAAGATAGTACAACGTGTGATGATCGTGTCGACAGGAATACGTAGCGGTCGTATGAACTTACTGTTCGCTTGTGATCAAGACTCGTAAATCACGCATGGGATATTTTTTTTATATCTTTAATCTTATGCCATGTATGTGTAGTATCCTATTAATATTATAAATGTGAAAGGTTCTATGTTTTGGATGTTTGTCCGTCAATCACGCCGAAACTACTGAACGAATTTTGATGAAATTTGGTTTATAGTTGAGTAAAGGGTCTAGGCTCGGTGCACTAAAATCACCAAATGCAGATGAAGCACCGATTTTCAGCCATTACCGTAAAAGATATGAGCGGAGACAAAATTAATATTTTTAAGTCAAACGAATGAATAGTATCAGGAAGATATAATGTCAAAAATTTATGAAAATCGAAAAATAAAAACGCATGTCAAGTATAATAAATGATAATATTGTGTTTTGTGTAGAATAAGAATCATGTCAAGATTGTAATATTAAGTGACAAAAAGGTAGCACGGGAAATTTAATCACATACATTCGTTAAACATGAGTGTCTTTTGTAGATCTAGTAAATGGGTTCTAAGTTTAAATGTGTGAATAATAGATTACATAAAATTTTTCAGGTACCAAATTATAAAAATACGAAACGAATAAGGTAAGACAACGCCCAAGTCAAAAAATTTAACTCTATAACTGACCCCGAAAATCGTACCTAAATATAGTGTAACTCCTTCAAACCGTAGCAAACCACTCTACCATGGATGCTCTTCAAAATACTGCCAGATTTATATTTCAAACACAGAATACATAAACTCGGATCTATAGTCGAGAGGAGTAATTACTTGAGAAAATGGCATAACTTAAGAAAATATTAACCTAAAGATTAAATTAAAATGAATTGTGAGATGTAAAACCTATTAAATACTATTATTACTACTATATTACATTATAATTAGTATTATATTATAATATATATTATTAATAATAATATTTTTCCTATTGAAAGTTGTTATTTTATTCAGATTCTTGTTTATTTAGTCAAATATTTGCTTAGGTGATTACTTTTAATTGACTATAGATACAGGTGATAGTAACTAAGACGTTTGTTGATTTTTTGCAGTTGACTGGTTTTTAATGTATATTTTTGTTTCTGTATTAACTCTTCCACGTGCTCTTTGATGAGTCCTAGCTTCCCACCTAATCAACATGAATAATGTAAACAAAGCTACTTACTAAATGATGCTCTAGGTACTTTCGAATCTAGGCTATGAATTTAAATGCAGTCACGATATTTGAACCCATGCGTGATGTTCTATTTCACAATGGACCCTACTGGATTATAAATTTGTAATTCAGTGTACTATTTCAACATTTTGATTAATCGTGAATGAAATGTATTTCGAAAAGTGTACTAAAAAGGAATATTTGGATTATCTGTATAAGTTCATCGTTTTATTTTCATATGTGAAATATTTTGATTTGGTTAATTGAAATAAGACTACAAATAATATTCATCAGAATCAAATCAATTGGAAAGAAAACAGATTATAACAGTATCTAATATGGAGTAGCTAATATTAATTCTTTTAACACAAACTTGGGAAATGAATGTAAAAATAATAAGCAGGTATTTTAAGTATACTGATGAGAAAATTATGAGGATTATGAAAAAGAAAGTATATAACAGACTGTTTTTTTTTTTAAACACGTTTATTTACAAATTACAATCACACAGTGATTTATTTTTAATAAATTCTATACATTTCTGTACAAAATGATACATTTTTTTTTTCTTTTTATATTATGCTTCTTTGTATAAAACTTTTTTCTTGTATCTTAGGAATTTCACTATCGTTGACTTTGGCATATTAGTATTTATAACCTTCTTCTTCGCTGAAGCTGGGAGGTTGACGGGGTCCACTGAAGTCCTGACCTGGTCGCTGACCAGGTCGACTTGGTTGAGATCCACCCCTTTGTGGTTGAGACTCTTGAGATCCAGGGCGGTTGTACTGGTAAGGTGTAGATTGAGGCATCGAAGGTCCAGAACCTGGCCTGTATTGACTAGGTCTGGGCGATCCAAATGATCCAGATTCCAAAGGTCCAGCAGGGTTGAAAGATCCTTGACCTTTAGGCACTGGGCTAGACGAACCTGTAGGGCCGAAAGATCCTTGACCTTTAGAAGCTGAGCCAGACGGGCCTGTAGGACCAAATTGACCAGCATCGGATCCAGGCCTGTTGTATTGCTGCTGGCCAGATAAAGAACCTGGTCGAGGGAATGCAGAGGAACCCTGGGCACCAGGGCGGTTGTACTGTTGAGGTGCAGAAGATTGAGGACCTTGTCCAGGTCGAGATTGACCGAAGCCAGCGCTCGATTGAGGACGGTTGTATTCATATCCATTGTCACCACCTTGTTGTTGACCACGGGACGATCCTTGGCTACTTGGTAGACCAGATGGTCTGGAATTCGGGACACGAGTATTGGGAGCACCATACTGTGTAGAAGGACTCTGAGACTGAGCAGCGGTAGGTGCTCCATATTGAGTTGAAGGACCTTGAGTCTGTGCACCATTGGGGGCACCATATTTGGCTGAGGGGCCCCCATGCTGTGCTGCAGCATTAAATTGGGATGAAGGTCTTTGGTTTTGGCCAGCATTAGGAGCACCGTATTGGGAAGAGGGGCCTTCTCGTTGACCGGCAGTAGGAGCTCCATACTGAGAAGAAGGACCTTGAGGTTGTGCCCCATTAGCTCCACTGTATTGAGCGGAGGGACCTTGGCCCTGAGCTGCAGCATTAAACTGGGATGAAGGTCTTTGAATTTTGCCAGCAGTGGGAGCACCATATTGGGTAGAAGGTCCTTGGCGCTGACCGGCAGAAGGAGCTCCATATTGAGAAGAAGGACCTTGAGGTTGAGCATTATTGGAAGCACTGAATTGGGGAGAAGGTCCTTGGCGCTGTCCAGTAGTGGGGGCACCGTATTGAGATGATGGTCCCTGGGATTGAGCAGCATTAGAAGCACTGTATTGAGAAGATGGTCCTTGACGCTGACCAGCATTAGGTACGCCATACTGCGATGAGGGACCTTGAGCTTGAGCTCCAAATCTGGATGGACCTTGGCCTCGACCAGCATTAGGAGCCCCATACTGAGGAGATGGTCCTTGGTTGTATCGTTGCGATGAGCTTACGGATTCATCTTCATCAGGATTATATGCGCCTGTCAATAAAAATTGAGATTTTAAGTTCCGCTAAAAATTTAACGACGTTATTATTTTTTCATTTGAATTTTAAATTAATATTACGATTTAAATTAAAATTAATATTATTTACTGATCACAGCAAAATTTGTGCGTCCATTTTTCTAATATTACAGACAAACGGAGGAATACTGAAATAGTTAAAATTAATTAATTAATTAAATAACATGAAGAATTGCCGAATGCACCTATTCATACTTTTTTCACTTTGTTTGTTTAACTAAACTAACTTTGTTTAAAATTTTAATCTTACTAACGACCTGGTTCTTTGCTACGACTTTGCCTATGTCAGCTGTAATATATCACCCGCGTACGATGTAACTTCCCGTAGTCGAAAGAATACTTAAAGCAGTCCAGTAGTTTGAAGCCTATTGTATAGAAAACACTTTATTTGTATAGAAAACACTACATACACACTACTGTGCGTTTGATACTTTTGTAAACTGAATATGAAACAATCATAAAGACTCAATGGTCGAATTTGGGAAATTGCGTGACCATTATAAATATTGAGTTTTATAAATTATTTCTATTTTACTTACCATCTAGAGTTTTACACATTAGAATCTTGAATTTTATGAACTTATATTAATATTGTTTTAATAAAGACAAAAATTTCATAATGGCGTATAAAATTGTATTTTATTTACCTTCTTGTGTGCCAGCAGCAGCGGCTCTCGCGTTCTCTTCGATAGACCTGAGTATTTCATCAGGAATCGGCGGAGGGGTAGGCAGATGATCACCTTGTGGCTGGTAACCATTTTCATCAGCCGTGTAAGTCACTTGATAGAACTCGCCATCATCGCCCGTATAAGAGAAACCACCTTGAGCTTGTACACCATTGGTAGCAACACCTGATTCCTCCGCAGAAATGCCATTAGAAGTCTCAAAGCTGTATGAGAAAGTCTCGCCATCATTCTGATTGTCATATCTCAATATTTCAGCATTCCTTTCGAAGGCGGCTTGAGCGCGTTCAGGCTGTTGACGAGAGTAATCTTGACCTTGCGATTGTCCGAATTCGGGAGATTGACCAAAAGAGCTTTGTTCGTTTTGTCCAACAGCTGCTGAGCCTTGACCGAAGGGCTGTCTACCAGCCGATCCAGATGGTGCTCCATATTGGGAAGCTGGTTTATTGAAGTTAGAAGAACTAGAGGAACCAGGCCTATTTTGTCCGAAAGAACCGGGTTGCTGTCCAAAAGAACCAGGCTGTTGGCCAAAACTTGACCCAGACGGCCCAGAACCTGGCTGAGAGGATCCCAAAGGAGCGGTCAAGGATCCAGGGCTACCTCCAGCATTGGCAGCGCTAGCAGGTGGAAGGTATGTCCTATCCAATTTCGCTGCATAGCCATATGCTACAACCGATAGGACTAGTATCTGTAAGAAAATATATCACTTTATAACCAAACTTTATTTAAGTTTCATTTTAAAGAAAAATCTATGAAATTGTTAAACGACGATTTATTTCACTTATTTTAAAACTGTTTAAAGCAATCTTTATAAACGCGATCTTTTTTTTTAAAAGCACTTAATTTCATATTACACAATACACTGAATGTTAGTAAATTATTTATATTACCAGCTTCATATCTAAAGCTGTTTTGCGACTTAAGGATGAGCTTCGAGTGTGCCATATTACAGAAATCCATCCTATTTATATGAAACTAAATTCGTTCACCGTCAGTTACCTAAAACGAACTCACGGTCCTAACCTTTGACTGGTCGTAAGATGATTCTGTGTGAGTGACTTGCTCAACTCCGATACTGCGGCTCTTGCTAATTATTGCAAGTGTGCACCACAACAGTCGTGTATGCTGGAAATATTGACTTATTTAATTTTTATTTATTCTAAATTTAAATTGGTTTCTGTTTACATGTAAGAGAACAGCGTTCTAAATTTTCAAATCGAGTGATACCTTTTTTAAAGTCTATTCCGATTTATTTCTTCTTTTTTTTTTGAAACTTTGAAAATAGTTATTTAAAAAAATGATATTAAATGAATGGCTCTTCAAAGATGAATTCAAGTGCAGCCTGTTTTATATATCTTTCTTTTATATTTTAAATTTACCTTTTTAAATGAATAAGTAAATTTAGATATTAAGACCCGTTGCGTACGTATTTGTCTTCACGGAATCCAATTTACTTCAACACATCTCAAATTTAAATATATCAGACAACAAATTTTTCATAACTCTTAACAAAAAATAGTGGTTTTGAAATGCACTTTATTAGGGCACATTCTTCCCTACAAATAAGTGTTCGGAGAGAAAACAGTATATTATCACCGCAAAAAGCGAGAAGTTTTTTTTTTAAATATACAAGTATATAGATTTATTTCTCCACCCCAGATACCACGAGATGTGACTTGAACCCACAAACTTTTGCAATCCGGACGTCTGCTCTAACCATTGAGCTACCCGAGATCCAACAGGACTGAAGAGTTTTTATAAAATTTAACAATTTGCAGGCAATCTGCACATATATTTATTTTATTTACAAATATTTTTCAAATTTCGACTAAGAAAATTTGTTCCGATAATTTAACTTCTTAATGAACTCGCGCTACTGTGAATCTTACACAACTTAAAGGAAAAGCTAAACAATTTGAATATACTTTTCAATATTTGTAATGTCTTACACTAGTTTTTTATATACCTACGGAATCATTATACCCCGGGGTCAAATCACCAAATTATCTGCACTAACTTTTAATCAAAAAATATCTCGTACGAAAATCAATAAGTGACCGCGGGCCACATCGGGTCATGTACCACACGATATCGTGATGTAATCATAATATAAACATAATCTGTTTAAAAGAAAACCACGACCGATGAAATACGGTGCATAGAACGTCCCCAAGAAACCATTGAGCTGTCAATAATTGAGTTAAAGGCTTGTTAGTGCTATTATGACCACTATTGTTATAACAATTTGATAAATTTTACAGTAACAATGCTCTATTGTATCTTATGGTACATATGTCATATGCTTAAAGAAAAATATTTGAATATATATAGAAAAGTCCATTTTCTACATTGGCTCAAAGATGACGTCACCTTGAAACCGGCGTGTGAGCCACTCGGCTACGGAGGTCGTCAAATATCCCCACTGCTGGGATTTAATCGAATAGGGAGAGTGAGCCATAACGTACTATGCGGATCCTGTGTTGATTAATGGACGTTAAAGTTTGCCTATGCAGTCATGCTCAATGTGCCTTCGTGCGCACGCAGGACCTTAAATTAACAAATTTTCGATCACCCATCCTATAACCAACCCAAGCGAAAGTTGCTTAACTTTCACATCGCTACTAAGCGATGCGCTATCTAATTTCACATCTAAGTTATAGCTGTAACCATTCAGCTACCCTGCAGCTACTTAATCAGGCATTAGACATATTAATTGCCAATCTCGATAAATTCAGAAAATGTATTAAAGAAGTTGAGGTAGACCCAAATGTCCAAGCTGATAAATCAACCAGACCAGATTGCTATATACTACTCTTTTCTGTTTTTTCATATTACCTACTTCTATTTTCACTTTATTTTGTAAACACCTTTTGGATATTAATTTAATACTAGACAGTTTTTACTTATCATAAATGTTTTTTTATTAATGTCTATTGTCTTATAAATAAATAAAATAAGACTGACCAATATTATGAATGAACAATGATCAATAAAACCTCTTTGTCCATGGCACTCTGAGATGGGATTCGAACCCATGACAAAGTGGAATTTTTAAGCATTTTTCATTAAGAATATTTTTCAGTATAGCATTGTGAATGTCAATTTGATCAAATATAATAATAAGACTGACCTATTTCTTAAGCTCTTATAACCCTCGAAACCTTCGAAATATTTTTAAAATTCAGATCAAGATCAAAATGTTTTCTAATTCTATTGCGTTCTATTTCAATTGTAAATATTGATAAATGTTGCCTTAGAATGCTACGAGTATACTGGCATATACTAGTATTATAAAAATATATTTGTAGGAATTAATCTTTGAAAATACTGTAGTAATAAAAATATATTTATTGTATTCTTTAAAGCCTAGATATGTCGCAGCCAAGTGGTATAATCAGTCGACCAATTGGGTGGCTAGCCCATTAATTGAATGGCGCCATTCATATGCACGAGATTTCTAGTTGAATAATTTGTTAGGAATTTGTACCCTACAAACCAAAATAAATTATTATATGATAAATAAATGCATTGTGAATGCCAAATTAACAAATATAATAGCTTAAAGTCTTGTTGAAGATAATAAATGTTTTTGTTGAATCATTTCGTGTGTCAGACAAATAATACGAGCAATTCTGTTGTACAAACTAAATGTGTTTACAATCCTGTCTCACTTCGTTTTTAATTCTGTAAATAAACAACATAACAGAAGGAAACTTATTATAATACTAGCAACGTAATTTTAATTTATTATATATTCATTTATTTGAGGAACTCCATGGCACAGTGGTTAGCGTGTTCGGTTTGCGATACAGAGCTTAAGGATGGGTGACCCAATAATTCATTATCTCGAGCTCCTCCGTGTTTACGAAGCGACAATAAATAGTTAGTCCTACTTCTCCTTCATCATCTTCACCAGCTTATTGATGTCCCCATTGTTGGGACTCAAGCTTTTCCTGTGGATTAAATCAAATCAAATCGAATAGGAAGGATGACTCATAAAGTGAGGATTGGCTAATGTTAACAACTTCAGATGATGCCAGGACCAACGACTTGACATGCCTTCCGAAGCATGGAGGAGCTCGACATATTAAATTTTTGGTCACCCATCTTGTGACTGGCCTTTGCGAAACTCGCTTAACAAACATATTACAGACTGAGAGTGCTAACCACTGCGCTCCTCAATACCAATGGTCACACCGTATTATGATAAGTGTCCTAAGTTTGAACAGGTATATAAGAATTTTAGCACGAAATTTAAAAAATGCCCCTTATTCACTTGGTCTTAATGGATGCAAGTACCTTTTTTAGTAGGTTCCTTTTGCTATCTGTGTCTTTAACTAATAATCAATATTAGATACGAGTGTTATGTATGAGTGAGTAAAGTTTGAGCAGGAATAGAACGATTTTAGCACGAAATTTCAAATGTGGGCTTTATTTACCACATGGAACTTAATACCGCAAGTACCTTTTTAGTAGGTTCTTTTTGCTAACTGTGTCTACGACTAATAATCAATGTTAGATACGAATGTTATGTTAACAGGAATAGAAGTATTTAAGAACGAAATTTCAAAGATGACCCTTGTCTACCACTTTGGACTTAATTGATGTAACTACTTTTTTAACTGTGTCTACAACTATTAACCAATGTTTTATTTATATAAGTCTCAATTTGTAAAATAATTGACTCAGAGAATTAATTAGGACTTGTTTGATTGAAGTAGGATAAGAACAAAAAATCAGTCAGCCAGTGGATTGAAAGCCTACGACGACCTAATGAAATATGCATTTTGTCTATAGTAGATATGGTGTGCACCGGTAAATGTTGATTGATGTCTTATTGACCCATTAGGAAAAGTTTCAGGGTTTAAATAAGATTTCCTTTTTATCGGATCAAATAAACTTGCAAGTATTTTATTATTTACTTCACAATTTAGAGTTTTTGAAAGGCTGGTGCCCAACAGAAGTCACCTTATATTTTGGAGTTTAGAGTTAAGTAGTAAGTGTATATGTTTCATATAAAAATTAATTATTGAACTTATTGCAGCTGTATAGATTATTATTGTGTAGCTTTATAATTCTATCATTAGTAATGCGTCAGCAGGTTTTCCGTTTCCTCATAATCAATTCAAATTACATATTTTAATAATTTTCTGAGAGAAGAATATTTAATATCTTGATTAGTATAAGCCCAGTGGTGTTAAAGTAAATTAATTAAAGTATAGATATGTATATAAAGATATTATTGATTGTCATGTCAAAGTCCAGTGAATCCAGTGAGCGTTGCACAGTATACGAGGGTCAAACTGAAAGTTCTTAGAACTGGCCACTTATAAACAATATAATAAAAAATAATTCTAAAATTTGAAAATATAACTCTTTGCCAATATTACTGAGTATATATTTCATTCATTTGTCATTTGTTTTACGATTTGGCGGCAAATTGAAAATTGTCTGTGTCACGTCATCATGAATTTAACACGAGAAAATTTTCGTGCAATGATTTTTTATGACTTTCGATGTCATTTAAGTCAACAAGAAAGTTATGATAGACTACGATTGGCCTTTCACGATGAAGCCCCATCTCGTGCGACTGTTTACAACTGGTTTAATGAGTTTAAACGTGGTCGCACTAATCTCACTGATGATTTACGTGAGGGACGGCCTTCTACGGCGACGACTGAAGATAACATCTGTGTTGTGCGGCGTATGATAGAGACTGACAAAAGAGTGACCTATCAACAGATTCGGACAAGCTTAGGCATCGGTATGAGTCAAGTGCATAAAATCCTCCACGAACATTTAGCGGTCAGGAAGCTTTGCGCCCGGTGGATACCTCATAATTTGACTGAGGCTCAAAAACTCCATCGTGTGGATTGGTGTCGTAAAATGATTGAAAGATTTAACGGAGGTGACTCAAATGCTGTGTTCGACATACTAACA